TAGGATACTAAATAGGTTTCTAAAATAATTCAATTAAAAGTACATAAGTAGATAAATTAAACTAAAAAACAGAATTTAGGGTATTAATGAAGGATACCCTAGAGTGAGAAAAATCATTTCACATGGATGCGTGTATAAATATGCATGTAATAAGTATAACTTCGAAAAACTATATTTTTTTCTTTTCTGGAATCGTATTTTCTGCTTTATGAGTTTGTCTAATGAAATGTAAAGTTCTTAGTTTCGCCCATTTTCATGACTATGCTAACGATATACAAATCGGATGGTTACTCTTTCTTGACAGTGGTTTCGAAAATATCCTACCTTAGAAGTCCATTGGAGAAGTTGTTCAAAAGTGACCGATTCTTCACTGTGAATTTTATTTTTTTAACAATAAACGACTTGTTTTGTCAATTCACCATTATTATTGGCAATCAATATTTTGACTAATACTTCGAATACCTGTAGTCATTTATTGTAAAAATATTTGTTTTTATACTCCCGCAACAAAGTTGCTAAAGAGAGTATTATAGTCTTGTTCACATAACGGTTGTTTGTAAGTCCTAAAACTAAAAGAGTCAGATATAGGGTTATATATACCAAAGTGATCAGGGTGACGAGTMGAGTTGAAATCCGGATGTCTGTCCGTCCGTCCGTCTGTCTGTCCGTCTGTCCGTCCGTCCGTGCAAGCTGTAACTTGAGTAAAAATTGAGATATCATGATGAAACTTGGTACACGTATTTCTTGGCTCCATAAGAAGGTTAAGTTCGAAGATGGGCAAAATCGACCCACTGCCACGCCCACAAAATGGCGGAAACCGAAAATCTATAAAGTGTCATAACTAAGCCATAAATAAATATATTAAAATGAAATTTGGCACAGGATCGCATTAGGGAGGGGCATATTTGAACGTAATTTTTTTGGAAAAGTGGGCGTGGCCCAGCCCCCTACTAACTTTTTTGTACATATCTCGAAAACTACTATAGGTATGTCAACCAAACTCTATACAGTTGTTTCTTTTAGGCATTTCCATATACAGTTCAAAAATGGAAGAAATCGGATAATAACCACGCCCACCTCCCATACAAAGGTTATGTTGAAAATCACTAAAAGTGCGTTAGCCGACTAATAAAAAATGTCAGAAACACTAAATTTTGGTCCACTAATGGACCAAAAACCACATCTCTGGAAGTACTCGACCGATTTCAATGAAATTCGGTATATAATATTTTCTTAACACCCTGATGACATGTACCAAATATGGGTGAAATCGGTTCACAACCACGACTGAAATCTCGATTATCACTTTTTCATGCGAGAGTATAAAATGTTCGGTGACACCCGAACTTAGCCCTTCCTTACTTGTTTGTTTCTGGATTGGAGATATACATATGTATATATTCCCAACTTGTTAGTGTATGTATACAACCCCTTAAAATCTATTTTTAACAAAGTATACCATTTTTCAATTGCTAATGGTTTACAATTGCTTCCCAACACTGCAAAATATTATGACTATTTGTACGCAAATATGTATGTATGTATGTATATACTGCTTTCAAATAATTACATTTAGTTGCTTCAATAATTTAAGTTACAAATTGGACCTGTGGGGAAAGTGGTATATTGCAATTCATAAGACAATGCTTCGTTCAATTGATAAACAATTTGGATGCCTTTTTTAGAAAATCAGGAAATTAGGAAACTGTACAAATAGGAAACTGTGCTTAAGTACATATGTATGTATATAAATACATATGTATGAATAGTAAATCCCGTATTTGGTGTCATTACGGGATATGACAAATATTTTGTGCAACACCATAGTGTGAGGTCAGCTTAAGAGACAAAGTGTCAAATCTTTTTTTTTTTTTTTGCAACTAATTTATTAAAACTTTCTTTTTCGAATTTTTTATTTAATTGCAAAAAATTTAATTTCTGTACTTGTTGAACTAAAATTCCGCTACGAATTAAGCGACAAAGAAAATTTCTTTAATCACATTCGCAGACATGCGCAAAACATACATATGTACATAAGTGCTCAAGTATGCAAAATAGTTGTACTAGCGACGGATGGTATGATGTGGTGGTCAGGCAAATCGCGTGATTTCTGCGTATCTATACAGCTTTTAAAACGCGACAAAACACAACAACAACAATAGTAACAAGAAATGAATGAAATTGAATAAAGTCGCTTAAGATTCAAACTCAAACCAGTTCAACCAAAAAGCACACAAAAATATATAAACGACAGAGGATATGCGTACATAATTACTTTTTTTCGAGTAAGTACGAGCCAGTGCGGAATATTTTCTACTTTTATGACACTCTGGCATTCACAAGCACAGTAGAATTTGCGAAATGCAAAGAAAGTCATGACTAGACATTAGAGTCGCGCTCGTTAAGTCGCTTTAAACGAGAATTAATGAATACAATGCGTTAAATAAGTAAAATCATTTTAGAAATACAAATGAACTTTTCTTATGGTATTTCACTCTTCACGCCACAATTGGAAAATCACGCACAAAAGAGAAAAATATGGAAACCGATGATTAATAAGTAATATACTATTTTTATAAATTCACATGTATGCACATAAATACGCATGTATATATTTATTTATGCTTACATATGTGCATTGCAGTTATTTGTTTATGATGATTGAATTCCACGCAATTGTTGAGAATATACTTCGCAGTTGGCTTATTTTGTAAAGCTATTTTTTGTTATCATAATAAAATAT